GCTCCTGGCCTTGGGGCGGGGTTGTGGGCTATGGAAGCCGCGAGGAATAGGGAGTGGGACCCATCGAACACCGCCGCGTCGATTTCTCCATCTTCGACCTGCGTACCTTGCATTAGCGTCTGTGCTCTCAATGCGACATGCGCCAGAGCCAACCGGCCTGCACGGGATCGGAGAGGTCGGTGTCAGTGTCCTCTGCACGTGCTCCCATCCTCTGCTCCCCCCCTCTCTCTTCCGACGTGTCTCACGCTACGCACGGCTGTGCAGTTGTGGAGCCGGCAGGATGGGATGTCTGGATTCTGCGGGATTCGTACGCCCTGCGGTTGATTTGCCTCTGCTTGCTTGCGTGCGTGCCTTGGTTTTGCTTGCAGTTGCGTCGTTTTGTCGTCATCCGTCGGGCATGTCTGCAGCAGCTGCCGTCGTCGAGCCGGTGGATCTGTGTTGGATGTGTGGCTCTTTGGCGGGGCTTGGTGCAGGCAGTACCTGACTTGAGCAGCAGGATTCGCTGGCACAGGCTGCATACGGTTATCCGGGACCCTGAGCGGCGACGCTCCAGATCCATGGTCTGTGTGCGGCTTCGCGGCTTCGCGGCTGCCGTCTATCGTGGCTGCGGATTGCCATGTCGGTACAAGTGCTGGGAGGAGAAGCATCGACCACATCACCCGCCTGAATGCAGTAGCTGGACGTCGACTCCCTGCCAGCTACGTCCTCTATGGACACGACCTTTCGACCCCCTTCCCCCTCGGCTTCACCGCCGGGAAAGTGGGACGAGCGGAAGCCCCGAGGAATCAGCATCCGTCGACTGACAATGCCGGAGTAATGCGCGACTATGCCGCAAACTGCGCACAGCAATGCAATCCATGATACGCGAACGCACATCAGATCCACCTACCTTTTGCCGAACTGCCCCCTATCCAAGCACCGATAGGTACACCACAAGATAGCTCCAGGGCACAACGTCCGTTCGCAAGCGGCATTATTTTGGACGCTCGTAATCGCCGTTGTCGTTGGCCTGTTCCCGGCACACGGTCGATCTTGCAGATGCATCCACGTCTTGGTTTGCTGCGGAGAGCGCGACACCGAGACCTCGCGCCCACTCTTGATGAGTCGCGTATCGTGTGGAACGGGAACCATTAGCGAAAGGGGAGAGTGCGGCTGGGTGCGCCTGTTCAGCGGGGCGCCTTTTTTTTGCCTCCTGAGAAGTTTGCCATCGAGCTTGTCGTCTATTACACCACGCCAACGCTTGCAAAGTACTGTGCTCCTACGCACAACACCAAGAAAAGGCAAATTCGACCGAGTGGCATGACGCACTCCAGCAAGGCAAGCAAAGCGTACGGCTGAACGCGCGTAGGTCATCAATTTTCGGTCCTTCGGTCGGCGCTTCCTCCGCCTCAATGGCAAGATGTTGCATCTGTTCCGCATCCCCGCGCCTCTTTCCACGTTATAGCTTGTCTATACGACCAGTGTATAACCTCGGCTTGTCATGGCGATGCCTGCGGGATACTTTCCTAAAATGTTTGTAAGAAGCTGCACGCCTTTTTTTTTTTGCTCTCCTTCTCTTCAGCCACAGCCCTTTGCCCGCCTAAATCAACCCACCACAGACGTCATCAACGTCATGCTAACGCCTCGTTCCACGCCTCCCTCGCTTCCCGTTCTATGCGGAGCTCGGAGGAACGAGCCATGAGCGAGCGAGCTGAATAGCGCCCGTTAGCTCCCTCTCGCCTCACGCCTCCCATCCGCCTAACCGTTTCCTTGCTCCATCACCGAACGAGCACCCCACGCATCCACATTTCGCGAGCCACAATATATTCGATCGTGTATGCACCCCATAGCCAAGGGCTCTAGCGCTAGCTCTGGACCCCATTTCGCAGGTAGCGAGTGAGGTAGCGAGCGCAGAAATTTCCCGACCCTGCCTTAAGCTCGCACATCCTCCACCTCCCTCGTCCATGGGCGCGGGAATTGCTCTACCTCTCGCCCATTATTGATGAGAACCCACTGCCATCCTGACGCTAGGTGTTGTACCCGCAAAATTACCAATAGAAGCCACATTCCTTCCGTCGTATTCCATCGGTGGAACGATGATGCCCTCGGTCCAATATCCGAATAGATCAAGGCCGACTGACGATTGTACCAAAGCTCCCACGTGTGCTATATTAGAAGATCTGCATCTATCGATACAACAACAGTGGCGTTCCGGCCCATGCGCGCAAGACCCTCTCGCATCTCTCTGCCTGCCCATAATATCGCTCTTCTTCGTGTTGAAGATCGTGTTCTCTCTACTCTCTGATTTCCACCTTTTGCTCGCTTGGCTTGACTTGATTTCCTTCACCGTACTAGGCCATTGGTATCATGGAAACGAAGTTGAAGAAAAACAGAGTGCGCATGATGTGCACTATTGTTCTGTGCATACGAACGTGCAACTGTTTTCTTAGCGATCCTCATAACGCCCTATAATGAATGCAGTACATGCGCAAACATCAAAGCCTGAGACTTGAGGTCCATGCGAGAGGTCTGGTCATTGCGGAGATGAATACTGCTGTGCGACCAGTGGCAAGCACTGAACAATCTTACCTTATCGGTGCCAGTAGCCATCAAACACGTAACTAACACCCTCTAACAGTAGTAGAAGCGTCTTCCAGCGGTGCACATCGCAAACGTGCACAGGGATTGGCCCATAGTGGGCAACAGCAGCCATGAATATCGTACTGCGGATGCGAAAGGGCACGGTTAGTTTGGTTGGTGTCTACTCACCGGCAGTACCGCAAGCCATTACAAAGTAGCATGCACTGGACATGCCGATCACCCTCACCACCAAGCATCACGCGTCGTAGAAGTGTGTATGGATGCTCTGCTCACAACTGTGCCACTTGCGCCAAGGTTGGCTTTCATATGCTAACCCCGGCGTGATTACACAGGTCACAGACTTCCGCTTCCGTGACTATGTAAGCTCCGACGCTCCGCCATCAAACGTCTAAAGCATTTTGCCTTTCTTGCTCCCCCCCACCTCACCCTCACACTTTGTTGCTTCCGCGGGTGGTGGGGCCGGGGGAAGGCGGGCCCGCTCCGAGCAGTCGTCGTAATCAACAGACTGAATGAGAGACAGCATCCCAGCGAGACATTCAATCCCGCGCAAACCCGTCAAGATGTCTTGCTCTAGTGCCATTCACAATCTCGACACACGGCGAGTAAGTGTGCCATGGCCCAGAACAGAAAAGAGCACTCCGAACGGTGGTCTGCCCCGGGGGGGCGTCCGTTTAGAGACCATCCACGGGCCTTTAACTATCTGCAGTAGGTATGAACATAACACCCAAACCAGTATCAGAAGGGGCGGGGCGGCCATCAACACCCGGTGCCGCAAGCACCGTAGGTACTCGTCGCCGTCTTGACCGCGGAAATTGCCAGCGTTGGCGAAGGGGGAGGGGGGGGAGCCGGGGATCTGAGGGAGATCGGGGAAGATGTACGTACATACAACAGAACGGTTTTTTTTTTCCTTTCTGCGGAGGGCCGAGACCCATGTTAATTGGATGTACACACATACGAACACCTTCATTTCCGCCCTTCTCTGCCGTGGGGGGGGGGGGGGGGGGGGG